ATAGTTAATTTTTTTGGTTTACAAAAATGGATTTGATTATCCATTTTGCAACACCGAGGAAAAGACAATGCATAGGATCCACTACAGCAAATCGTATAGGATCCATGTATGGTAGGCAAAGCACTTCAATCCATCTTATACCATGTACTTTAAAATGTGCTTCTCTGGAGGACTTTGAGTTACATTGCAACCATTCATGAGCATATTGCCTATGTAATAAAAGATCTGCAGGCTTTGTTACCCATTCATTATAGTCTTGCATTCTTCTGTAATGAGTTTTTCTAAATTTCCCGCTATAAGTGGTATATTTGTCACATCTATAGCATTTCATTACTGCAGATCTATGACCAAATAACTTTCGTGTAGCTGGAGTATCAGACGATCCAACAATTAACGCAACTTTTATTTCTAAACCATTGGAAAATTGGTGAGTTTTTGGTACTTTCCACCCCTTCCAAAGTTCTAATAACTCATCTACAATAGAAGCTAGATAATGATTAATGCGTTCCAACCCTGCCTCTTTTGGTCCTGGTAAGAAACCCAAATATATAATATTTTCGGGCTTATTCCTTTCTGACCTTGGAAGATTGCAAATAGACGCATAAATAGCGCCAGTACTATGCTGCGTGTAGGAGAATGGTTGGAACCAATCAAGATTAAGGAGAAGACCTAGATAGGTTGTGGCAGTCTCTGTTGTAAAAAAGGTACTACCATCAAATGGAAAATTTTTCCATACCTTACAATCGTAAATATCTGAATAGATATTATTTTAGTTTCTTTGAGTCCCTGATAATTTTAACATGTTCTCAAAATCTGGTCGTTGATATAAAATGCTCAATTGCTGACGAATGTTTGGCTTAAGATAAAACATGCGAGATACCACAATTGTTGCATATTTATTTTTTTTGAGAATGGAAAGTGGATTATTGCATTAGTGATTACGACTTGATATTGGATTATTTGAATATTCTTTATACGGGCAATTCATTATAGTAACTTTTCCTTCTTCCTTATATGCAATAATATCTTTAACATTATGCAATTTATGGCAATCGGTACATGCAGCTAATTGCATTTTCGGTTGAAAAATGTTTAACCATATTTTTGCCATATATAATGAGGTAGGAAAATTTTCAAATTGCAACTTATCAAAGCGCATAAGAATTATATGAAAAAATTTTATTAAGGATTCAAGTGCAATATCAGGCAATCGAAATCTTTGTTGAAATTTAAATAGCCATATTATAATCTCAGTATTAATAGAATCACTTAAGCTTTCCACTATAAATGCTTCTTCATTGTCATTGTCAATCTTAGGAGATGCGAAAAAATCTTCTACATCATCATTCTCCTCTCCTTCATCCACATCATCATTCTCTTCCTCATCCATATTATCTACATCATCATTCTCCTCTCCTTCATTCACATCATCATTCTCTTCCTCATCCATATTATTTACATCATCATTCTCCTCTCCCTCATCCACATCATCATTCTCTTCCTCATCCATATTATTTACATCATCATTCTCTTCCCCCTCATTTATATTATCTACATTATAATTCTCACCAAAATAATTGATTTCATCATTATTTTCATCAATTGTAGGTGCTGGAATACGAAAACATGAAGGTTTTGATGAAAATAATGTTATATTTTCTTCAATATATTGGAAAGAAGGACCAGGATGGGAAGAGTCCTGATCTGGACTAGATGTACCGGAGTAATTATTTCTTTCTCGCTTTTTTGATATATTCAATTTTATTTCTGTATTTATATATGTATTATTAACAGATGATGTTTTTTTCTTTCTTATCATGATGGTATTTTCCTGATTTTTTCTAGAATCTTTTGATCTCGATTCCCACAAACTATCATCATACGTATGTTTCTCTTGAGTGCGAGAATCAACTTCTGCACCTTTGCAACGAGCACAATTGCAAATATACAAATACTTTTTTTTGGGCTTTATTAAATCAGCCACAAAGGTTTCAGAGGTTTCAACTTTACGTTTTTTATTACTCTTTATTAATCCAGATACAGAGTTACATTTTTTATTACTCATTTTTATTAAAATGTATAAAATATATTTTTTATTCTATCACTTTTAATAGTTAGTAATCAAGACGTTCAGAAACGAGCTTTTAATAATCCTTATCATACAAAAGAATTGCACAAGAATTTTATGAGCGCGTTACTTTTACCTGGTGAGAATTGCGCAAACGCGTTGCTACCTCTGAGCCTTGATCTGCATCCTGAAATCTCCGAAATCATTATAAATTTGCACACAATCAACTTTTCTCGCGTTCTGAAATCTCTACTTTATACGGGATTTTTTTATTTTACAAAATAACAAAAAGATTTTATACTTCGTAACAATGAATAGTGATAATGTATCATCTAGTGATGAATCATCCTCCTCCTCCTCCTCCTCCTCCTCCTCTTCTTCTTCTTCTTCCTTTTCTAAAAGTTCTTATAACACGATAAAAGCAAGTATTTGATTATTTTATATATTATTTCTGCTTTTATCCTATTTACATTTATCTATTATTTTACAGAAAGAAGTGTTTATTTGGAGCGACTCCGAGCTAAAAGACGTATACAGTATTAACTATGAGCTCACATGGGCTGAGCAAAAAGATAACATAGTCACCAAGTTGCTTCCACCACTTTACAAACTCGTAAATAAAAAATATAAAGTCTCAAATAGTGATTTATTAAAGATGTTATATGGACGTTGGCGATCTCGCCATCGCGTTAGTAATATTAGAAAGCAAGGGGAAGCCCAAATAAAACGTAACAAAAGAAGAGCAATGAAGAATTCAAGGATGCAGGATGTAAATTATTTAATTAACAGAAGCTATTAAATTTAGTTTTTTTTTTAAATTAATTATATTGTGCTTTATAATTAACATTGTTAGAAAAAAAAAAGAAGAACAAACGCGGCCAATTACCTAATACAAAACAAAGATAAGTACATTTGCCGATATCCTGAAAAGGATCTAGTTCAAATTTTAAAAGATTCAGGCTACCATTCCGAAGAATGGGAGGAAACCGACGAAGATGATGAAGATGATGAAAATGATGAAGAAGAAGTAGTCACAAAAAAAAATTCGATATATATTTATGAAAGATGGTGGAGATCTCCTGCTGTATGTATATTTTATTATTTTTTATCAAAGTATAAACACTAATTTATAGTTTAATTTCTTTATTTAAGCTTCAACGTTTATTACATAATCGTATTGATCCAACGGTAGAGTTATTAAGGAAAAAACCACCAAACTTAAAATGTAAAAGAGTTCTAGACAAAACAGAAACAGTTAGTGTGCCACCTGCCGGCGCACCAAGCTGGTGTTTGAATAGAGAAGCACTTGAAAAATTCAACCGTTTAACCAAAAATATCCCGGTTTATGATTATGATACTGATGAAAGCATCATTCAAGACAACAATGGTGCCGATGATGATGTTGATAATAACGTCGTAAATAACAAAAATAACAACAAAAGGAAAAAAAAGAAAAATAAATCTAAATCAAAAAATAAAAAATCAAAAAAATAAATTTTACAATTATTACACTTTTGCCTAAATAGGTTTATCGTCAAAAATACTAATCAGACTTTAATAAAAATCAGAATTCAAACATTTTCATTTAATTTTTTTAAAAATTGATTGATTAAATTAAAAATATCATGGTTTGATAAAGCTATAGATTACAGTTTATTTTTATTAATAAACAAGTTACGGTAATGATTACTTTATTACAGTAACAATTTAATTACGAATAAGGTATTTAATAAGATATCAAAAACTGATTAATAAAATTTTCTATATTAACATACGATAAATTAGATTAATAAGCTAAATACGATAATATTATTTTTTCAAAAAAATTAAAATGAAAATATACACAAATTTTTGTTTTTGGTATGTAAGTCAAATTAAATTACTATATGCTTAAATCATAACTCATAACCCAAAGTTGAGAATTAACCGGGTACCTTGCTTTAGATTTAGCGACACTTCCCAAGTCAGATGAGGTGCCACAGGTACGCTTTAAGAAAACTCGCTATGATAATAAGGATAAGTATATTAGAAAATAACAAATATGAATAAACATAGGATACGATGAATAATCTCAAATAGAAAAATAAAAAATAAAAAAATAAAATAAAATAAAAATAAAAATATAAAAAATAAAATAAAATAAAATAAATATTTTCAATTAGACAAAGCATCCTCGTTCCTTCCTGGAATTCTTATTTGACTAAATTATTATTGTTTGTAATTTGATCCATTTGAATCCACCATAAATTGCCAGACAGGGCGAACCCTTATTAGACAATTATAGCTTCATCACCAAATGGCTGCGATGTGTTTAATGATATGGCAACCTGTTTAATTCATTTTTAAATGAGCAAACGTGGCCATAAAACTCATTAAAAAGGTAGGCTACAGAGTGCAATGCAACCTACCTAACCTAAAAAGTAGGTCTAAGGGTTAGGGAATAAAATATACCCTAAACCCACTCAGTTGGTATGGAAATAAAAGTTTACAAACGGAAGTTTCAGACTGTGCCTGACGACAAAATGGGTGAGGTGCAATCAGGACTTTTTCCTCTAATACAGCCCGGAATTATAGAGGCAACATTGTTATCGTACAAAGCACATCGACGAAAACGTCTCTAAAAGAAATTAATCAATAAAGAGTATACTTGGGCAATAGCTGATCTTTATCATCACCCTATAAACTCCAAAAGGACAGTGATCAGCACAGGTATTTTGGCTTACGTATTTCTTTAAGGATTAATTAAATTGAAAGATAGGATCCAAATTCAATATGACTGAATCGATCGCCTCCGGTTATCAAACTTCCATCAGAAGTGATCGCTAGAATCAAAGATACCAATAATCACCCTTATCAGTAACGATCGAACTAAAGATGTTGGAGAAATAAAATCCGTCATTTATATGGAATTAGTTTGTATTACAATTTTATTACGATTTGGGTAAAAAAAATATCTCCTTAAAATTTATTTTTTTTCAGGTATCCTGGCTATATGGAAAGATTCCTAATATGGTAATAGTACAATACACCTTATACGCCATTTTGCAAATTCAGTGTAATAGTTTACAAAGAAAAAAAGGGGAACGTATTTATTTTTTTGCCATGAGAAATTTAATTACAATAAGTGGATTTCAGAAAATCGCGGTAATTTGAATAATTTGTATATGCTTTTGATAACAGGTTTGAAGTTTAGGTATTCTCTGGCCGCACTCTTGTATTACTATGATCACTGAGAGTTGGCTTGCTTATATAATAATCTTATCATTCAATATTTTCTAAAAAAGTAAATAAACATCATCTATTTATAAGTATTCATGATTTGGAAAAACTCCGTATGAAGTTGAATCAAGCATTCCATAGCAATTATCTTTTTTCGTACACTGTATTACATTTTTACAAAGTATAAAGCGTACAAAGCCAATACCAAATAGGCAGAAATCAGTAGCTGTTTTCTATACTACGATAATATTAAATAAACACACAAATTTTTTTAAAGATTGTACAAATATCAGTGACCGATATATATTAGATAACGGATCGGTGACTAATAGTTTGGATATCAGACACTTGGTAATTTACATTTTTTTTAACCATATTTGAAATTTGCGCATTATGTGACAAATCGGGTACTCGATATGTTGTTAATATGTAAAAATGCCCGATATGTACCTAATTAGTCACCGATATATAGGTATCCGATATGTATGAGATAGATCGTTTTTTGACCTGTGAATACATGGCTGTTTTCTGTATAGCAGCATTAGGAGGCGAAGTAAAGTCAGTTACAATAATCTCTTCAATAGGTCTTTAAAGAATTTGGTTAGTTTGAATAGATCTTGGATTTTAAGATGAACTGGATTGTGATTGATTAATATACATAAAACCTTGGATTGGAATTGGAGTTGTCAAGTATTCTCTGATTTTGCTTTTAATATCTTTCTCAGGTTTATATTAAATTTCTTTCTATACATTATTACTTTCTGTACACAAACTAATTTTTTAATATACTAGTATAGGGTTTTTTACATTTACCATACAATGATATTCAAAAGTATTGCAAAACCTTTAGTATTAGTTTATAGAAGTTTTATAAATATAAAATTTATTGTATTTCAGTGTAGTTAGAAAAGACTGCATGTTAAAGTCTCAAATATAAAAATTTTTTACAAGAATTTTCAATGATCAAAATTTCACAAATCACGTTAGATAAGAGATTACTGGATTATCATATATATTAAAACTTATTTTTTTTTGCGATATATTGATAATACATGTAATTTTAAAATTTTTGAATTCATTAATATATTTTAAAATAAATAAATATTTAAAAATAACTTTTGCGTTATAAAATTAAAAAAGTTTTTATATAAAAATAAAGTATTACATTTTGTATTAATAAAAAAAAGATTTAAATGATATCAAATTGATTACATAATAATAAATCTTACAAGAGGAAAAGAGGACAGCTTTAACCCTATAATGACATAATATGTGTCACTTTCCTTATTGTAAAAATTGGCAAATCTTACGCAAATAGTTCAAATAGTTAAATCTTACAACAGAAATAAGCTTTTTATATGTATCAAATTTATAAGCTTCATTTTTTTCACTTGAATATTTTGTTTGAAAAACATACTTTTATTTTTTTTCACTTGAATATTTTGTTTGGAAAACATACTTTTGAGATTGTTGCAAATATGATTTCAAAACTAGAAGGTCCAGAAGAATTAGAAAACCTGTATTTCAAAATACAAAGCATCCTTAAATCACATAATCTTGTTTAAAAGAATTTTACAAGCAGTGAATACTAATCTACGTTAACATATTCTTACTGTTTAGTAGTATTATTTAAGGATGACCAAGCCTTATTTATCTTATGTTTTAACTCTATTTTAATGTTTGATATGTATTTAAGAAAAAAAGATTTGGAGATTTTTATTAAGATTGCAAGAACATATGTTACCAATATCCAATTAGCGGTATCTTATGAAAATGATCAAATTGCACTCTTTGAAGTAAAATACAGTGAAACTATTAAAAATTTGGCATTTACATTATGTAAATTTGAAAAGAACTGTTGTGAACAATGCGGTAAGTTTTTCTTTACAGACTCAATCTATTTGAAATATTAGTACCCCTATAGTATTTCTTATATATAGATAATTCTTTAAATCTTGATCATTCAGACATCATATATAAAGGTATTTCAAAAACTTGAGATAGACGTGATATTATTTGCAATTTCTGTATTCTTAACAATCTTTAGTTGTGGTATGGAAATGAGAAAAATATTTAATAATGTACTGATGTGAACAGTGAACCTATTCATAATTTATTATTTATTCCGCATTCTGATAATAATGAGAAAAATAATTATAACTATTTTGACAACAAGAAATTGATTAAAAATTAATTATTCTGGTAGGATTTGTTGAAAGAAAGAAAACATTTGAAATTTAATTCAATTTCGTTCAATTATGGCATGTGGGAAACTAAATAAGTAAGATCAAAGGACAAATACATACAAAACTTTTATGGTCATATTCATCTTAACTTTAATGATATAGATTAGGAGAATTTAAAAACTAAGATTTCTGAGGATTTTAATTTTTCATCATTAACTATTTATTGTATAAGTTTGATGTTAATAGTTTGAAATTTTTCTCAGTCAAATAATTTTTTTAAAAACTGTCTTAAATTAGAATGTTTCGGTTACAAATAGTCAAACCATAGTTGATGGTAGAAAATTTAATCAAACTTACAGGAAAGGTAGATAATATCATTATAGCTCTTTCTGTAACTAATAAAAAAATATCCACACTTATCGATTTGTTAACAAAAAAACATAGTGTATAATTTGCAAAGTTTTACCATTTTCACATATGATTTTTGCTTTTTCTTTTTTATCAGTTATATTTTTTTTATCTAACCTTTTCTCTGTACTTTAAAGGCTATTACATGTATATTCTATATGAAGAATACTTGAAAAAAAAAATATCACATAATAATACATAGCAATATTAATATAAAGATTTCTTTATATCATCTCATATCATTAGTATATATTTTTTCTAACAAAATATACTTCAGTGAAAATATTTTGGATTTTAGGCTGCACATTAACTATATGTCTTTTATTAACTTTGTTTTCTATTATTATTTGTTCTTTACCTTGTTAGCAAGCAATTAATATGAAGTTAGTTTGGATTAGTCTTAGTTGATTTGGATTGATTTTACTTTAAATTTCACTTTTTATTTATAATTAGTGTATAGAATTTAATAAAGTTTAAAAATAATATACAGTTTCTCTTTACCATAAAAAAAAAAAGAAATAATTTTAATTTTTGACTTTTAATTTCCATATGGGCCGATCCTTGGAATCTAATTTTTTTACACAAAAATAATTTTATTAAAGCAAATATAAATTATCATTTATATAAGAATAATAAATTTATACTAGATAATGCAAAAAAAAACTAATTAATTATATAATTTTTATTTTTTTTTAATATAAGATATCATTAAAATTTAAAAGATCAAATATAACTCTCATGACAAAATCATTGATAATTCTTCGTAGAAATAAGCTATACAAATAAATTTACATTCATTTGAAAGAGAAAATCGAGATCTATCTAATGAATCTAAAATCAAGTGAATTGAATCACTAGTTGTTCAGTAATCACGTTCAGTATATTATTGAATTTTATCTAAATTTGATCATTAATTACTTCACATATAGTGAT